TCTGATGATATGCTTGTCTTGTTGGATGCTCGTTATTTGTTTAAGTATTCATGTTTATGTGATAAACGGAAAATTAAGAAAAAAAAAGAAAAGGCATGTGAATTGATAAATGGATAAGTTGACAGTCTCACTAATATCCTGGGAGATGGTGGATGGATCGGGTCCATAGGGAACGTTGTCTCATACCGGACGGGGTATGGAAATTTTAAATATTTTAGCGCTCATACCGGACGGGGTACGGGGACGGCCCGCTTCACTCTCATACTGGACGAGGTATTGAGGTTTATTGTTTGACACCCATATCGAACGGGGTATGGGGACGGTCCTGGAAATTAAGTTTGTCAAGGGTTCACGGGTAGCGGGGACCCCTATGGATCCTCACGGATACTAATAGGCTGATAAAAAGGGAGCAACTGTTGTTTGATGATTGAAATATAAAAGTATGACATGTAGCATGTTACAGATTATGTATGAACTTATGATATCTATGATGTTATTGTTTTCATGGGTCGTTTTTATAAATTCTACTGAGATAAGTGAATGGTAAATGGTTTGATTATTGATAAATAAATTTACTTGAAACTTGTGCTCCATTGGTTATTTTTTGTTTTCTACAAACCTTTACTTCTGTGACAGTGATATAGTGTGATGTCTTTACTGGACTAGTGTATCTCATTCCTTACTTAACCATTTCAGATCAAAAGGATTTGGTTCCCGAGCCTGATCTACAAGAAGACGGCGAGTAGATACCTAGATATTTATTTATTTCTTTTATAGTCTTTCATTTCCAGTATTTTCTTTTAGAGGACTTATTTTCGGTATTGTTAGTACGTTTAAGTTATTGTGTAAGAGATATTAATCAAAACCTTTTATTTTGCTTCCGCACTTATATTCTTTATATATATTTCCTTTTTAAATTTCTGACACCGTTACACACCGTCTCCATCTTCAATATCCAAAATTCTCTAACGCCTCTAGCAACTTATTTGTACCCTCTTCCATCCTATCCCTCTCCTCCCTCACCCACTCTTTAATAGTGGTTTTAACACAATTAAATTTTTTGCCACCTGAAAACTAGCCTTACCAGACACATTTTCCTGACTCAACACCTCCAACCACTCTCTTAAAACCCTCCTTCTTTACCACTATTGTCCAAACCGAAAATGAACTGGCCGCCATTGAATCCCATCTGA